AACTTTATGTAAAATATACTGTAAAAATATCTTTTTAAAAACATTTTTTAATAATTAGCTTTTTAAACAAACAGTCTAATTATGTATCAGGATGGAAAAATAGAAGGTCAGTAGCTACAGATGCATAATTTCACTCTGATAGATTGCTATTTGAAAATAGGTTATGCCAATTAGATGATTAATTTTCTTCTATTAAATAACATTATGAGACTTCAGATTACATTTATCAGTATATTCTCTTTAGTGGGAGCATAATATGAAAAAAGGCCAAACAGAATACGAATTTATATCCTTTCTGGAAGGATCTGAATATACTTTTTATCAACCACACTTGGGAAAATAATTAGAAAATTAAACTCTGTTTGAAAACTTATTTTATGTTTCGTATTCAAAGTAACATGTTGAAGACATAATGTGTTAAAGGTTAAACTATATGAATATGAGGAGCAAAAATCTGGATGTCCTGCTGGCAATTTTTTTTTTTTTGGTTCTGGTTATCTGCAAAGTATACACCCCTTGTCAGTATAACTAGGGAGTGACTGTGTAAACATTCTTGTTTCGCCTGTTCCACATAATCGTTTCTTGTATCATATTTCTTCTGACCTCGCTATCTGAAACCAATTACAGGAGATCCATTTGGGCTGCATCTATTTTCATAAGAAGCCTAGGCAACAGTGTTTTTCTCAGAGATGAATATCAACATCAAATATGCTTCTGAGTGCTTTGTTATTTATGTTTCAGAGAGATTTTGTAGCCTTCAGCTCTCAAGAATGTGTCACGCTGTGCTGTTTATACATTGAAGATATTAATGGGCGTAGATGTCATTTTTCATTTTAATGTCTCAAATGCAACAGGCTGATAGGTTAAGCATTCCTATTTTTATGGGGAGAGATATGACTGATGTCTATTTTTCCCCAAATATACATATATTTACTTTGAAAAAAGAAGTTATTTATAAGCCATAGCATACTCAACATTTTTTTGTTTTACTGGGTATTTCTAAGCTATTCTCAAATAATTTTATATTTGGTGAAAGTTTTCAGTGTTCTTCAGTGGAAAAAAGTATTTATCTGACAGGTTACAAAGCATTTTTATCCTTAGTTAATTATCACCATGACCTACTCATTAGAATTATTCTGTGAGGTTCATAACTAGCATAAAATTACTACTAGTGAAGAAGTGTGCTTGAACTTTGCTTTTCGTACAAAAATTTAGTTAAAAATGCACAGTATGAGTTAGGAATGATGTTTTCAGTAAGTATTTCAGAGAACAATGCACTAAATTATGAAATATGTGCATTCCCACATCTCTACAGTCTAACAAAATGTTTACCTTTAGTGTCTTATACAGATTATTTCTTTTTTTCAAATTTTTAAATTTAACCTGATTTCAAATTTTAAGATGTCTTATCTTAATTTTCTTTAGGTTTCCTAAAATAGGATAACTTCATTAAGTAATGTGCACCCCTAATTAAAAACAAATGTGTTTTTGGAAACTAGATATGGTTTGGCTGGCTTCGAAATCTCTTTCTTGTTTCTGATACATTGGAAACAGACTCAATCATTATGAAAGGAAATTTTGTAAACAACTTTTATTTTTGTTCTAAATTAATTTTTGTGGGGGAGGGTGACTATCTAAATGACTGGATGGCTCAGAGAACTTTATGAATGGCCCTGGATTTAATCTTTTGTTTGTACTGAGAGAAGTGGCAAGTGATTTTTAAATTAATATTTTGTGTCATTTGACACCTAACACTTTATATTGATGGAAGTGTTTTATCTAATAATCTTTCATTTTTTGAGTAGCTATAATAATTAATTGCAAAGATGAACTAAATGTCTCTGAGCAATTGTTTGTTGAAATTCAGTCTTAAAGTGTTATCCAGAATACTGGAAATAAAAATGTCATATGATGCATGCAGTGAGAATGCAAACTGCCAGAGCTTTCTGCTTATGAGTTTTAAATCATTCCTGATCTCCTGGAATTGTTTTTTGTTCTCCCATCTCTTATGCTTACTACAGCAATCTCTACTATACCAAGAGAATGTTGAAATAGGAAAGAAGTTATTTTTCCTAAGAGTTTGTATTAAAAGATGATCCTCAGCTATTTTGGAGAGAAATATAAATGCATATGAAAACCAAAATACTTTAAAAGTAGAAGCATTTTTTTAGCCAGCTATCCTGTGATATTTCATTACTATTATCACTCCTTTCCTAACAGTGTAGGTGTATGCTTTTGACTAGTGATACTTTGATGAGTGAAACTTGTAATATATTTAATTTTCTAGTGTTTGTCTACAGACATTACATAACATTGACATATTCCATTGATTACATGGGTTTTGTTGAATGAATATAACGCAGGGTGGTAAAATGGATGGGGTCCCAAGCTTGGGAGAGAAGAGCCAGAGTTTTTGACCAGGATCTGCTACTGCTTTGTGACTTCAATCAAGTTATTCTAGTATTGATTCTTCAGTTACTTGTTTGAGAAAGGTAGAGTAGGCAGTTTCTAAGGCCTTGTCCAGCTCTAGAATTGTGCAGTTCTATAGTAATAATTGACCAGATAATCAGGATGTTACAAAAGTTTAGAGTTCCATCAAGCATCAGGGAAGTATCAATATATAATGAAATCCAAGTTAAAGATGATGGGGGCAGTAGCCATAAAAACAATATACATTCTGTGATAGTTGTTCTATTCATTTACAGATTCAAAACAAAATGGTTATATTGTTGTTTCCCATGTAAAGTCTGAAAAATGAATACGCTCTCTTTACTGGTGAAGAATAATTCATTATAATGTCATATATTCTCCTTTACTAGAATCTTACTCATTGCCTACTAATGATTCCTTTGACAGAACAGAAACAATATGGCACACTGGAATACACTCAGGCCTGGAAGCCAGGAGACCTTGAAAACAACATTCATAAATTGCTTTGTGATCTTGAACAAAACAACTGACTATTCTAGGTTTCATTTTTCTTATTTGCTAGAATGAGAAGGTCAGATTAGATGATTTTTAAGATTGCTTTTAATCCTTGTCATTCATGATTCTAAGATCCTAAACAGTGTTCATTAAAATTTTTTAAGAATAGTAGATAACTACATAATTTAATATAAATTAAGGTAATAGGTATACAAAATAAACTCATCAACTCAAAAAGAAAAAAAAACTACATGAAAACACTTAGGCATCAACTGGAAAAATAATTGAATGCATTTTTATTTTGAGAATTTCAGAGACACAGCCTAGGACACCAATTGTAATTTCCATTTGGAAAAATATCATTTGTAGTCACTTTATAAGTTACAATTTAAATAGGAAGGATATATTATTTAGAATATTGAACAAAAAGTTTCAAATAGTCGTATGATAATAAAGTAATTATGAATTTTTTTTGTTTTTTCAAACTGAACTCTATAATAAATTCCCTGAGTTCACTGGAATGTGCCATCCTTAGAAATATTTAGGTTAATTTGTAATGACTTGAAAAGTTAAAAAACAACAACAAAGATGATTATCGTGAGTGAGTGTGTCTCCAAATGTAAAAAGTGTGCTTTACAAACTATGCCAGATCCTGCTATGGGAAGACAAATCAATGTTGTTAGGAGATGGTGCTAGTGCATTCAGTTTGTTTACTTTGGTTTCTATGTCTGCCTGCCTTTCAGAAAACTTGCTTGGAGCCAGACTGTAGCAGCCCTCTCTGTCTTTTCATAATTGATCAGGGGATGACTGCCTTCCCTGAGGGTTAAGACGTGGCAACTTTTTCTGTTTGCTCAGCATCTCAATGCAGTAGTTCAAACATTGTTCACACCAGCTGGCAGTGTAATGCCATATGCACATCTTGTCAAAGCAACTGTTGTCATGGATACTAGAAACTCTCTTAAAAACCAGATCATTGATTACAATCAAAATTGTACTTTTTATCAGCTGAAATTCTTCATTATTACAGAAGAATATTAATCCAATAATGTTTTCTCATTGTGAAAAATGTATCTTGTATTCAAAAGCAGTAAAAACATAGTAGGCCAATGATACAGGTTAGTTTTATGTCTTGAAAAATTTCCCCATTAGTGTTCATTGAACTCAGTTGTTGAGAGAGAAAATGACTTTTTTAAGAGACTCTTAAAAGTTTTTGTTAATTAGTTTATACTCCTACCTTTAGAAGAATTTACTGTGCATTTTTGGTCTATGGCACTAGCTTTTACATGTAAAGTTTATATAGTACATTTACTGAACTGTTCCTCCTCCACTAAATGAAATGCTTACATTAATTTCTTATGTTAAGTTTTATTTTCCTAAGTGGGAAAGAAAACATAAAAATAAACGAAAACATCTTCTATTTTGATTGGTATTCTGTCACACATAGAAACAAACCTGATTGGTTGAGTGGTAATTTCTTTGTTCTCTGATTTTGCTAAGAATGCAAATGAAAACCACTCAATTTTATTTGGCATTAAAACTGCACTTTATTTTGTCAAAGGAGAGGTTTCCCCTTGAATTGTAAGTACAAAAAAAGTGTTTTTAATCTTTAGTGAAAATCCTTATTAATTCACTTTCAAGATAATCTGATGTTGATTTGTCAAATTTAATTACAGCTTCCGGTAACACTTGAAGTCTACTGCTTTTGCCTCAAAATTGTAATATGAAAATGCAAATTGAATGATAATTTAAAAGGGAGTGGGCATTTTAGTTGAACACTCAAAGACAAGTTCTTTGTGGAAATGAGTTTATTGATGCAGTTTATGATTTTTATCCTCTTTAAGCACTTTAAACAAATTAACTTTATTTCCTGCAGGATTGCATGTTTCTCTGTGATTCTGAGTAAAGTTATATATGTGTGTTTGGCAGTTTTTTTTCATTTTAGAAGATAAACAACAATGATTCTCTCTAGAAAGGAATATGGGAGTTCTTGTACATTGAATCCTTTTACTGTTAACCAAGATATAATTGATAACTTTCAACAAAATATTTAGATATGGTTTCATTTTTACTTCTAGGCTCTCCAGGCAGCAAGACAACTTCTTTTACAGCAGCAAACAAGTGGATTGAAATCTCCTAAGAGCAGTGATAAACAGAGACCACTGCAGGTTAGTAAAGCACTCCTGTCCTTGGGGTCTTATTTTAAAAGATGTTCATAATGATAACAGATGTGCAGACCCAGTTGTATATATACAGGAAATTATTACATTTGCATATGTAGGTAATTTTAATTCATAAAGAGAATTCATTTTATCTTCTTAAAAGAAAAAATAATAATATTCTGTTGGCATACATTTTAAAAGTTTACAAGGTAACTCCTTGCAAAAAATACATAGGAACCATATTTGGTGTATATAGGCTTAAAGAATTTTGCATAAAACCCCCTTGTGGGATTTTTTATGCATACATAGGTTGAAATGTAAAATTTTTTTCTTAAAACCAAAGTTATAGTAAAATGGTGTGGAAGGAAACAAAGAAGTCTTAGACAACCCTTCCGCAGTTGTATCCAAGTGACAAATGCAGAAAACCTCAAGGATTGCCAAAAAAACTGTTTGAGTTTGCCAAGGAGTTATTGCTGTTGCTACAGTTATAAAAACACATTCTGGAGTTTGTTGTCCTTACTCACTATGTTTGTCCTGTGAAACTGATAGTATGTATGTCTTTTAAAGTAACTTTTGTTACATAATATAATCCTTGTTTTATGTAGTCTTCTTAACCAACATATGTGGGACATTTTCTTGGGGGGGAAATATTTCTAAGGTATATTTTTTGACTGTTTGGAAGGTAAATTCTGGAGTTCCATACATCTCTCAAAGTGTTCACCAGCTCTGTTGAAAGATAAGTAATCCTTTTTCCTGAATCATGTGTTACATACATTTCTAATAAGGCAAATTTAGTTTTTTTAAGCATCTCTTATGGCTTTATTTTAACAAAAAAAAAAATTTTTTTATGGCCCAGCTGTCTGTGTTTATTTTCAGGTGTACTTACAGATGTTAGTAACTAAGTCTTACATGATGGCCTTCTGAAGCTTAGTTTGTATAAGAGAGAAGTATAAGCTACTGATTTATACAATCCAAAAATTAGTTATTACCTAAAAACTGGATAAAATGTATGGTCCCTAAACAAATTTGAGATAAGAATAGATTTTCCTGGGAACAAAGTCATTTGTGGAGGGTGGATGAGAAGAAGAGGGACTTGGGGATAAGGGATGTTTCAACAGAGAACAGATGTCTGCCATGACTGGAAATGAAAGTTTTATTTAATCAGCCTGAGTTTAAGATTCTTTTCAATTTTTTTCTCTTTTAAAAGCAATTTCACGTTCCTTTGTTTTAACTAATGAATAATTCTGTGTCACTTTCCTCACCATCATATTCTTCCCCAATTTATAATGGGAGCGTAGGTGTAGTATTTCCATGGAGTTATCTGATTCCATGAGAGTCTCTTCATGCATTTACATGACAGAGAAAAATTTACATAGAAGTCACAGAAGATAGCAAATGAAATGTTTATCCTCACTATGGCTTCAGAGTGGGAATTTTGCTTTCTTGTTGGAATAGAAAAGGAGAATTAGATGCTGGCAACATAAGCAAAAGATAGGAATGAAGTTACTGTTTTGAGTGTCTAAAAAACACTATATATTTTCCTAATTCTATTTCATCATATTTCTTGACAAAATTGAGGAATTCGCAGTTGCTTCTTCCTCTCCAAAGCTAAGTCCAGTAGAAGTTTCTATATTGCTGGTTACCAAGGTATCTCTGGAAAGAATGGCTGGGCTTTAGTTTTTCTATTTTTTTTGTTGTTGTTGCATTGAAAGGCAAGATTTGATACTTGGACTAAAATATACATACTTTTCCTTACAAAATACCCACAATAGAATGTGGGAATATTAATGGCTCTAAAATGAGAAATCGTTGTCTGTTTATCAATGCATAAGTAAAATTTTGAGCAGAAGTCTCCAATTTTGTTATTTTAGCATAAAAGAATGATTAAAACTCCTATAAATACCTTTTGACAATTGCAGTTGCTGACCATGACTACAAAGACTTTCACTGTGTCACTTGTTTTTCATTTTGTGATGCATATTAATCTGAATATATCTCCATTGTTTAGACTATAAAACTAGCATTTCAGTATTATTTTGTAATTTTAATGAGATCTCATGCCAAAATATCATACGAATGAGAAATTGCGTTTTATGAATGAGAATTTAGAAATATTGAATGAGACTTATTCACCAAAATATACACTGCAATTAATATAATGTGAGCCTTCATTTTTAGTATTTCATAGGACTTGATAAGCTTAGCAACTAGAGACATGCTGGGATTGTATTAAAAATCTAATACAAGCTTAACAGCATCTGATACTAGCTTACACATCTGTTGTTAAACAGGAATATTAGGTAATGCTTATCTTTGTATCTTCAAATATCATGAGTTGCACTATTTGCCACTAATGTTTTTAAAAAGGGTACAATTTTTTTTGTTAAAATTTTCAGTAATTTAATATGAAATTAACATTTTAGAAGTTCTCTTATATGATTCTCTCAAAACTTAGATCTTTTTCTACGTAACTAAGTGTTTAACCAAACTTTCATAAGAGTTAGTGTATTATCTTTACATTTCAAAAGGATAATTGAAAATGTTTCAAAATCTGTATGTGCAAGGCAAGGTATTTGGTGTTAATCGATTATGATGGCTCTTAATATGACAGGCATAACATCTTTAGTGGACCAAAAGAGATACTTTGTATTTTTATTTTAAAGTATAATTTTGATAGAGAACTACGTTATAAAGTTTGAAAGAAAATACAGATTTAAAAACCTGTTTTGATGGCTCAAGTCACAAGAACAATATTCAGTTGCTTGTTAACATTCACCTGAATTTATTTTCTGTGTTAAGAAGTGGTGGCCAGATTTGAAGTGTGACATGGTACAGAGTCTATTTTTAGTAGACTAGTATTTATCTACTATTATTTTTTCATTTACATTTGTTCAGGATTTTGTGCTACAGATGGCATAGATATTAGCATGTCTAATGCAAAATGGAAAGAAGAAAACATCACATCTGACAAGCTTGAGTGCCAATTGCAGTAGTGATTTCACTTTCATGTATAGATATCTGAATATATGTATTTGAAACATGTTTACACAATCTACTCATGACATGAAACACCAATTGAATAGGTGCAATCAGCAAGTACATTGATTAATGGCATATTGATGAATAATATATAAAGATTGTGATGCAAATGGGAGCCAATATTAACTTAAGCATTACCAGATGTTTCTGCTTTACATTCTTACTGTGTATCCCAGAAAACATATCCTAATAATAACAGTCAAAGACAGCTTCTCACTTTAATTTGTTTTATTTATTTAAATCTACCCTAGCACTTGCTAGAATTGATATATTCATAGTGATCCACAATGAGGAAAGTTAGCCAAAAAGAATAATACTTAATCCTTTCAATTTCATGAAACTAATTTTCAGTTTAGAAAGACTGAGTTAACACACCACACCACACACACACACAAATGCCCACATGCACATACACACACATGCACACTTCCATAATCTGTAAATTAAAAAAACAATTTGTAAAATACATTTTCAATTTTCTAGCCTATGACAAATCTACTTAATTTAGTTTAGATATGAAAATTGGTCGCATTATTGTTCTTGTTACATTTACAGCCATGAGACAGACTTGTGGTTCTTCAACAGCTGTGCAGAGCAGAGACGTAAATTTAAGGTAAATGCCATTGCTTTGCTATCTTAGATGAATATTAGTTTTTAGCATTGTAATCACTTCCTTCATTGTAGGTTAATATATAATATAAAGTTCTCCTTTCTAATAGGTAATTGAATTCTAAAATTTTTATAATTCTGTCTTAAGAAGTTCAAGAATGGAATAGTAAAAAGCAAAAGAGAATTAAACTTGGGGGTCTTATTCTGACTCTGCCACAAATAGTTATATAAGTTTGAGGAAGTTGCTGAACATCTTTAAAATAAAGACATTGGGCTAACTGATGAACAAGATCTTAAATTCCATGGTTAAATATTTATTTTGTTTTCATTTTGAAGTAAGTGAAAGGTATCTTAATTTTTCAGGATTAAATGTATCTTGTTGGATATTGCCTTATGAAGTAAGGGTTATGTTTTTTTTGCCTGGTTTTTGTTACAAAGCATTTGTTTATTAACATGCCACATCCAGAAACAGTGCCTTGGAAACAAAGAATTAAATCCCACATGTATGAAAACCATTGTGCAAATACAATTCTGTGTATCTGAGGAAGCTTTGTTTTGTTTAATGCCTTGAAATATTATAAATTGCATTTATGAGAAATATAAGCTACATAAAAATTATTTAACCAATGTATTTAATAATCTACATTGAACTATGTTTTGATATAATGCAACTTAACATTATTTTTACTTTACTATTTCATTCCAAATTGTTAAAAATAACAAAAGCTGACAAAACCAGAAATTCTATAGTAAACTAATTAACAATACTGAAATTTCATATTCTATGTAAAAAATCAAGAATAAGGTATAAAACTTTATAATTTGTAAAATATTCTGGAGGAAAATACTAACTTATATGGGATATAGAATCAGGCATTACAGAATGTCTTTTAGGAAATTATAAAATTTTATTTATGTAGCTATAAAGAATGAAATTGAGTATTTCTTTTTCAGTATTACTTTTAAATATAATGTAAAAGAAATGGAGAGAAGCTAAACCACATTTTGTTCCAAATAAAAGCAGCATTGCCAGAAAAATTGAGATATAGGTTTAAATAGAGCAATCTATTGTGATGCCCGAAATTTAGAAATAAGTTTTTAAAGATATTCTTTACTATTTATATTTTCTGTATATTGAAAAATGAGCAGGAGGTCTAATACATTATTTCTTGATCATAATAAACGTATTTAATTCAAATATTGTTTTAAAGAACAGACTATGTCTTGTGTGGCTCTTATTTTCCCATTCCAGTGAAGAACATTTCTTAAAAGGCAGCATGAAATAGGCAAATTTAAAAGAATGTTATAGAATACAATTTTTGTTAAACTATGATGGTATTTCTATCCATGACCAGCTGCTCAAGGCTGACACCCTGTGGAGGAGGGTCTGGGACATTGAGCTCATTACTACTGAGCATGCTTGTGTGGAAAACTTACCGTATGATATACTCTTGGCATACAGAAGAAAGAATGACGTGTTTTAGATCGGAAGCCTGCCTTTGCCATTAATAGGGCTTTGGATAGAATAACTTGATCTCTTTGGAGCCTGTTTCCTCATCCCTAAAACAGGAATAAGGATACCCAAACTTTCAAGATTGCTATGAAGACCAAAAAGTATATTATGTAAAGTATTTAGCATAAATCCTTGGATAAGGAGTTAATAAATAATTACCATTATGCTAGCCTCCAGGAAATTGGTATTTAATTCAAGGTTATGATATATATTCTGTATCATAGCATTTGGCTGTAATTTTTTACTATTCCCAGCTATTTCAATGATTTGAAGTATACCCTTGTTGTAACTGTGTGTTTTAAGGAATACTAGAGTGTTTTCCCCTGCTATAGGCTCCGACCACATATATACTTCACACTCGCCACACATAAACTTGTATTTTAATGTTTATCTTCTCTATTAAACTGTAAGCTATATGACAGCAGGAATCATGAATTCTCTACTCTTCTCTAGTGCCTAGCACAGTGCTTGGTGAATAATAAAGCTCAAAAAATAAACTTATTGAAACAATGAATAAGGAGGAGATTGTGCTGAGTGGAGCAGAGGAGGAAGGTTGGAGGAGGGAAAAAAATTCATTCATTCGATATAAATTGAATGATTATTTATCATGTGTAATATCCTCAGGGACTTATGACTTAGTTGAGGAGATATTCAGAGTTGTGCACAAATAAATACATTATTGGCCACAGTGCATGTGCTGTAGAAATGGGAAAAACAGAAAGAACAATAAGCATTTAAAAAAGAAAATTATCAATTCAGGCTACAAGTGATCAGGGAAGACTTTGTAGAGAAGTTAGCATGTATGATGGACTTAAAAGGAATTTGGTAGATAAATGAATTTTTGATGGAGAATTTTTTTAAAGATGTCATCAAAGATGTAGTCACAGGAAATTCTGAGATCTGGTTAGGCAAGGGTAAGTAGTTTGTTTTGATCAGCCTAGAGATATCATACTAATGGAATAATGAATGGGTTGGGGGCTAGAAATACACATCGCTGATTGTGTAGAGCTTAAAATGTCAAGCTAAGAAGGCAGTATTTTATGGATTGGGTAGAAGGGGCTATTAAAGTTTTTTGATGAGGAAGTGAAATTATCAAAGCAGTGGTCTGTGAAGGTAGCAACGGTACATTTGGAGGATATTTTCAGGGAAGGGAATTCTGAGAAACCTGGAATAAGGATAATCCTTTAAAAACTATTTAGGTAGGCATGATGTTGACCTAAGCTTTAGACATGTTGAGTTTGAGGAGATGGCAAGACAAGGAAGTAGAAATAGCTAGCTTTTAGCAAATTTGAAAGAGAGCTTGACAGAGGGGTCAAGACTAAAGAGAAATATTTGGGGAGCAACACAGAAGTAATAGGTGAATCCATGGGAGTAGAGGAGATTTCTGAAAAAGATAATTTGAAAAGAGGAACTCAGTAATATTCATATTTTTTTAGAGCAAGAAGAAAAAGCAGAAGAGACAAGAAGGGGACTAGAGCAATCAAATTAGCATTGGATTTATTAAGGAAGGTCAGGAAAAGGGGGAGTTTATAAAAGTTAAGGCTTGTCAGCCACATCAAGCAATGTCCACAGGAAGGAGAACATTTTTGCATAAACACATATAGTTGATTGCAACACAGATCATTTTAAATCCCCCTCATTCTTCATCATTCATCAGTAACTCAGGATCTGCAGTACTAATGTGATCAACAATGAATGGAGAAAAATCATACTTTAACATGGATGATAAATAGAAAATAAGGAATTAATAAATGTACTTTTGCTTCTCAGATTGCAGTGTAAGAAAATGTATGTTGCATATATAATACAGAACTTCCATAACTTAAATATGGAAGAACTTTGCTTTCTAGGAGGCCAAATTTTCTGTTTTCTTAGCTACCTTGCTAATTTTCTCTTTTCTTAGCTACCTTTCTCTTTTCTTAGCTACCTTGCTACATTTGCTTCTTCCTGTAATCCATTAGGATTTTAAGTATATATTCCCTTGACTTCTCTACCTTAACTAAAGTGAGAGCAAGAAAGAAATAGAACATTAATATTGTTATGGGAGCTCTCTATAGGATTTAAGACTTAGGCTGCGAATTTTATCTTAAGATGTTTGGAAGTGTTATACAAGCTAAATTGAATGACAAAGTGAAGAACAGTGTCAGTACATGATTAAAGACAAAAAGTAAAATTATTTTGAAATTTACTTACATTTAAGATTATTTGTGTTTCCTCTGTGGATTCTATTTATGTATTTCTATCAACCCGCCTTCCACATTTCTATCGGTTTTTTCTTAAAATGTTTTTGCTACCTTCACCTTTTCTACTGCTTTCTTTTCTCCTTTACCATTTTATTTTCTTCTCTCACCATGTAATCTTGTCTATTTTACTTTATTGCTGTCTCTTTGGTCCCATAAGAAAATAGAAACTTTAACTATCTGGAACTATCTAATTCTATCATGAACCTAAAAGATATTCTAACCTATCATTTTACTAACAAAATAAAACTGTGCCCATTCTTACAATCCAGTGTCTAATATTTAATTCTTGTCTTACACCAAGAATAGTTTGTGCTATTAAGTTGGAGTTTCAATAGGAAAGCATTTCTCCTCTTTAGTATCTCAGCTACTTAGAAGAACTTAAAAGAACCTGGAACCCTAAGGCTTTTTCCTTTTCTTTTTAGTGCTAGAAATCTCCTGTTATGACATTTATAGTGGCTTTTTAAAAAATTGCATCAAAGTGGTTTCATTGTTCCTTAATCTTTTGGTCTGCTTTTTCAGAAAACTATTACAAAATGAATATTTAAACTAGAATTGCTTGGGTTAGTTACATTAAATGGTCAGTTCTTCTAAGAACATCTAAGGTTGTGCTGATTATTTTAGTAATGCTGAATTTGGAAGAACAGCATTTGGAAAAATGAAACAAATGTGACATAAATGTTTGTTTGTTTGTTTTGTTTGTTTGTTTGTTTGTTTTTGAGACAGAATCTCACTCTGTCACCCAGATTGGAGTGCAGTGGCAAGATCTCTCACTGCAACATCTGCCTCCCAGGTTCAAGAGATTCTCCTGCCTCAGCCTCCCTAATAGCTGGGATTACAGGCATGCACCACCACGCCCAGCTAATTTTTGTATATTTAGTAGACACGGGGTTTCACCATGTTGGCCATGCTGGCCTCCAACTCCTGACCTTAAGTGATCTGCCTGCCTCGGCCTCCAAAAGTGCTGGGATTATAGACATGAGCCACCGTACCTGGCCTGTTCTTTCAAAATATTTAAGTCACTGTATCTTAATATGAAAATCATATAAGCTTATTACAAGAATCTAACATGATTTTAAGTTAAATTATGTTTGGTCACTAAGTTCCCTTTCCCAAAGGCACTTGATAAATGCTAATAAATTACTATAGTATAGTGGATTTTTCATAATGAAAATTGTATTTTCTGATTAGATGAGGTAGAAACCACTCATAAGAACTAATTATAGTAGAATTACAGGAGACCCTTGACATTCACAATGTATATATCCACAGATCTTCATGAACCCTCAAATTAAAAGAAAATTTCCATTTCAAAACTTTGGTGGGGTTTGTGCAGACTTTCTTTTATACTGTCCTTGTTTTGGACCAAGCTACCGTTGCCTTATGCAAAGTCTAAGACAAGTTAACAACTTAAAAAATTTCAGTAAAATTTGCCCTGTGAATAATTTTCAATTTTCTAAAAAGAAACATGTTTTTTTACATTATAGGTTCTCCTACATTAGTGAGGTAGATAACAGCAAAGCTACATTAGTGATAGAAAAATCCATATGAGTTTAGGAATTAGGTTATGTGTGAGAAGTCAGCAATCTAAAGACCAGCTCAACCTTTCAGCTGCTTGATTGTTTCATGGCTTGAAGAATTGCACAGGTGCAGTGCCTAGAGACTTAGCGATCATATGCAAATAACCAGACAAATCCATAACATCTGTGAATTTTAAGCCTCTATTCTACCAAATCTTGCCATCTCTCATCTATGAGGAAAACCCACAGTTAACAAACAAGTACCCCCTACTTTCCTTGTTATTTTATTAAAGACTTGAGAGAAGCTCCCTGTCTTAAAATTTTTATCCTCCTTAACTGTAAATCTCCACTGGCATCAAAAAATTACCAGGAAATGTTCCTTCAGAGTTAAAGTTGCCTAGCATGTCCTCCTCCTCCTCCTCCTCCTCCTCCTCCTTCTCCTCCTCCTCCTCTTCCTCCTCCTCCTCCGTCTTCTTCTTCTACTTCCTTCTTTTTTCTTCTCTCTTCTTCTCTCTTCTTCCTCTTCTTCCTCTTCCTCTTCCTCCACTTCCTCCTCTTCTTCCTCTTCCTCCTCTTCTTCATTTTCTTTTTTCTTTTTCTTAATAGAGATAAGGTCTCACTGCATTGCCCGGGCTGAGCTGTGAATCCTGGGTTCAAGTGATTCTTCTGATCCAGCCTCCCAAGTGTCAGGATTACAGGGAATAGGGAAAGGCTGTGTCTTGAGTATGAAGAGACCTCTCAGAAATACTGAGTAAATTAGTAGAGACTTGACTTTAATGGCCATTCATTGTTTCCTAGGTTGGTTCAGGGATTCTGAACTTAGGATTTTATGCCCCTCTCCGCCCTCCCAGTTACAGAGCCTCTGTCTAAATTCAGTTAAAGGTCTTGAATCACATCAAGCTGTGGCTAAAAGTATTTTGTTTTTTGTCATTTGATTGTGCCTATTTTTACAGTTTTAAGTTTTATCAGTGTAGACACAGAACTTTTAGTACCTAATAGTTAAGCAGTTTGATAACACAAAATACACAGAAAAATCCTTTGCAAAGTATATAAATCCTTACACTTTTAATGCTAACACTTGCATTGCTGTAAAAGCTGCCACCTTGACATCTTCTACTGCTAGTGCTACTGCACATTCTCAAGTGACAAACCAAGGAACACATTGAACATTATGATGTGCTGACATGAAGAAATCTGTTGTCTCACAGAAAGACTGTAGCAGATTCTTGGATAGAATATCTCTGTAAAAGCAAACAAACATAAAAAAACCAAAATTATTCTCTCTACATTCTACCTTCTTCCCATAGAATCAAGCCTTTAAGACATATTAGCTTGTGATTAAAATATGACTACAACTATAGTTTCTCAAAATCATGGCCATCATTTGAATTTTTCCTTCCTTTCAGGAGAATTTATTTTCCTTAATCAATAACTATCACCACTCCCATACACAGTCTTAGAGCATGTTTATACCATTCATTTTCAAGTCTAAAAAATTACTTACAAGTCTTATAAAAATGGAGCTCTTGGGTCTATCCCAGACTACTGAATTAAAATTGAGGAGAGATGGTTGGAATTTTTGGAAATAAAGATATTTAAAACCCTCCAGGAGATACAATACAGCTGGCCTACAGAATAGTATATAGGAAGCCTGAACTATTCTCTTCTGGAACAAGAAAACAGTTAACCCCAAATTCTATTAATGTACTATATGATTTTCCCTCTCTGGGATTCAGTTTTCCAACGCTTGCAATGAAAAGGCTGAACTAGTGATACTTCAGGTAACTTTCAGATAGAACTGTCATTGAATCTCAACCCAGCA